ATTAATGATAAACGTCTAACCGCCTCAGAGCGACAGCTTAAAACGTTATTTTAAGGCCGCCACGGAGCCCCAAGGCTATAGTGTGCTCATCCGCCTTCGAGCAATAGCACAGCCAACCGCTCCAAAGCAAGAGGTTCAAACCCAATCGCTTCAAAGCACAAACACAACCGCCCTAAAGCAAAAAGGCCCGGACCTCAAAGAACACAAGTAAATAAAAGCATCCATAACAGGCATTCCAGAAAACGCCCAAAATATTCACTGCCCAAGGCAGATTCAGTTTACTACACCAGGAAATTAAAACGACTACAAAGCAAGTAAAAAAGACAAGGTAATCAGGCGGTTTCTTCTTCAAACTTCGTCATCATGGACTTCCTCCCTGGCACCCTCGGCGGCTTCTACATTCCCCGCGGTCTCGCCATCCCTCGCGGTCTCCGCAGATTCGACCACAGTAGTTGCTGCATTCTCCGGAGGGGGCGTCGCAACGTACTCGGAGTTCACGTCCTCGTCGCTCCAAAACTCGACCGCGTCCCATATCGAGTTGGTGTCCCACACCACCTCCGGATACTCACGGCGGAACCAATGACGAATGGCAGCCACTGTGTCGCGGAGCAACTTCTTGTACTTCGCATCATCAGCAATGCGGAAGTCATCGGAGGTCCAGAAGGTGTCCCTAGCTTCCTGAGCGGCCCTCAGTAGGGCGGCCTCGTGAGCATCTTGCAGCTCGGACTTTTCTGATCGGAGGTTAGACAGCTCAACCTGCAGGGCGCTTTCTCGAGCCAGAGACTCATTCAGCTCGGACCGGAGACGTTCCGCGTCCGCTTCAATCTTCTTAGCCAGCTCCTTGCCCGCCTCGATCTGGGCATCCTTCTCCTTCATAGCCTGCTCCTGCTCCTTCAAGACGTCCTCCCGCACTTCCGCCCTTACCCCCTCGCGGCCCTCCTTGAGTTGGTCTTCCAGCTTCAGCACCTGTGTCTGAGCGTCCAGCAATCTGCTCTCCAGGCGGTCATTTTCCAGCATAAGCTGGTTCAAACCAAATTGGGTCTGTACAAAGAAAAAGAGTTAAACAAAAGAATAGCGGAGGAAAAGAGGAAGAGAGATCGTCGTACCGCAAAGAACAGACGGGACGTAGTGGCCGCCAGGCGCTTTGTATCGGAAGCCAGCACAGGAGTTCCAGCAGTTGGGGTGAAGTCACTAGGGACCGCCAGACCTTCCGAGATAACGTGCATTGCACGTTTGGCAGCCGCTGGGTATAGAGACGCTTGCGACGAAAAAGAGACGGAGGTATCAACAGATGTTCTCTTTGGTCTCTTAGGCGCAATGTAGGCGTCTATCGGAGTAGAGCTCTCAGCGAGCACTCCCTTCAACCGAGGCTCTCCAGCGGTCGCCCTCAAATCCTTTGAGGTCGTGATGTCAAGGGCCCGTTTGGCTGACGTCCTCGGCGGAACAGGCTCAGACAACTTCAACACCCCCGTTTGACTAGCCACAAGCTGCTTCTGAGACGGGGGAAGTTGAGAAACCGTCGGGACAGGGCGAGCAGCCGCAGCAGCAGGGGAGGCAGGAGCATTGGTTCCAGGCTTCGGCGGTCGTGCGGAGGACGCATACCGTCGCGTACCTGAAGAATGAACCAAGTTAAAGACAAAAGGCGTGAGAGGACCGCTTAGTACGGAAAGTAAAGCAACTAACCATGAAAACGGCGAATAATGTCCAAGGCATTATCGTCCCCCTTTGGGGGGAGACAAATTTGAAAAGCATTCGTGAGCCGCTTCAACAAGGGTTTGACAAGACCAAGACCATCAGTATCAGTGTTCCAATCCTTCTTGTCTCCAGACGCAAAGCCTGTGGGCGGTTCAACCTCCCCAGAGTACCACTTATCCGCAGGACGAGCAAAGAAGTATTCCTTAAACCAAGGGGAATCCAACTTAGGCGCCCCGCTAACGATCCCAACCTGCGACTCGCGACGGTAGCATGACCAGCAATTCTCGGAGCCCCTCATCTTGTACAGCTGGCGAAACGCGTCAAAAGAGGGCGTCTCGCCTGCCTTGGCACAGGCCGCTCTAAAGGCAATCGAATGAAAAATTATACCAGGAGACAAGCGGCCCAGCGTGCAGTTCAGAAAAAGGAGCGTCCGGGTAAGGATAGGGTCGATGGGAAAAGTCAGGCCCATCCGAAGGTGCTCCACGTGTATGGGAATCCACCCACCCGGGCAAGAACCTGACCGCCCAACCGGGGAAGGGGCCGCGTAATCCCAGTCGGTGGGAAGGCGATGTGTTTTCAGCTGCCGCAGAACTTGCCGGGGGTTGTATGCAGCCTCGTTAGGCGGTCCCTGCTCGTATGCGCTTGAAGGCACGGGCTCCCCCTCCCACATGTCCGCGTGTAACCGTACGCGGTAGGTGGTGTCGCGGATGGCCTGGAAAGCGCCCACCGGCAGAGCGTCAGATATAGTTAGCGATGGGGACAACTCCTTTTCGACATCCCCGGGGCGGTCCGTAGGGTCATCGCCATGGGGAAGAAGGGAGGAAACGTTAGCAGGCGGTTCACTCTCCGCCTCCGAATATTCAAAGTCGCCGAGGTTGTCTCCAACCAAGGAAGACGCTCCACGTCGTCCGCCTGACGTTCCCACGTCAAAAGCCATGTCCAGTTCTACCCCTAAAAGGTCATAACGAAGACCGTCTAAGTACACCTCACGCCGTGCGAGTGATGTCAATTCTAAATCCTAAATCTATGAATAAACCGTGCAAGGGTAGGGTCTAAAGTTACCTGGAGTCACTTGCCGGTTGCCAGAGGGTGGTCCGCCAGATCCTCCTCCTGAATTCGAGGATCGAGGAATGCTGCCGCCGGCACTGGAAGTACGAGCGTCGCCGGAAGCGGTAACCGCGAGGTCACTGGAGGTTGTGACGGTGACAACGTCGCCGGAGAGGTTCCGATTTTGGCTATCGGAATGACTAGTACTTTGCGATTCGATTGCCATCTGCCTTCGAAGTCTTCTTTTCTCACGTTTCTGACGTCGTCGGAGTTTAACGAGGAAAGCTGCTCTCGGCGGAGACAAAGAAGAGTTGTCTCGGAGATAGGAAGACAGGGAAAAACGAGAGCACCGAGCAATTTTGGCGAGAGAATCGGGAGAGAAGTGAGATAATGGGAGAAGGAAAATGAGGAGGAAGAAGAAGAAAGAGGTATAAATGTGCAAGGAAAGGTGCAGCGAAGCGACGGTTGAAGAGACCTAGGGCAAACCCTACTCTATTTAATTCAAATTGCGGGCAGGTGATTGGACGTAAAGTTGCCCGCTGTCAGAGCACGAAAGCCGAGACCAGACACGTGGCGCGACTTATGGGCGGCATAGCGAGGCGTGGAAGGCCAATCGACAAGCGGCTATCAGGGGACAAGCTAACAAGCTGAAAGTCAAGAGGGGGTGGACAGCGAAACCGCTTAAAAGCCCACAGTGGACAAGGCTTAGAAGTCTTCCAGATGGATGCTCAGGAGTAGCGACCAAAAAGGGGTGAACAACTCAACCGCTAAAAATACGGAACGACCCGAAAGTCCCCGAATCAACAAGAGAAGAGGGCGGCCAAAAAGGGGTAGACAGCTCAACCCCCAAGACTAGTTCGGAATTAACCAATCAATGCTCCGAAGAGGGGTGGACAGCGAAAACCGCTCGACCCTACACGAGGAAGTTGCGAACCACATTAAAGCTCGCGGGACAAACAGAAACCAAGTGGATAGCGCAGTTGAAAAACGCAACTCATTATAGGAGGCTGTGGACCAGAAAATCACGGATCTGCGGCGGCCAGGGGGCAAAAGGGTAGACAGCTGCTAATGAAAGGACCGCTCAGCTACCAAAGGACATAAAGTAGCCGCCAAAATCCTTAGCTTTTCACGACTAAGGGGCAATTGTTGGGCCATAGCTGAGCAGTATAGGACTTGGAAGCCCAGAAGGGTAAGGCTCGTCCAAAGGGCCCAAGAAGACGTCTGGGGGAACGTAACACATAAGAAACAGAGAAAGGAAGGCGGCCATACTAGGACATGACAGGTACTAGGACGCCTGACACAAAGAGCCGTTAGGGGCAGAATGAGAGATCTTCCCAGGATACTCACCTCGAATACTGCAGGACTAAGCATTAATTGCCGCAGTAGGCGGTCTAAATAAAGTAGGACAAGATATAGGACGCCTGACATGGTAATTAATGCTCGAAGCCCAGCCCAAACCACTATAAATACATTCATATCTGCATTGATGGTAAAACAACTACTCTCTCTCTCTCTCTAAACATTATTACAGAATTCTCTCTCTCTCTCTAACTTGAGCTTTGGAGGGTGTCCTGGGTGATCACCCAAGGACCCTTGTTTTGTAGGAGCTTGGAGTCCCCCATCATCCGGATCAGACGCCTTGCTAGTTCCGCAAACCCGCCTAGAACATTCTAAGCTCAAACAATACAAGTATGTTATTTTTAATATACAAATTATTTAATTTATTATATAATTAAATTTAATTTTTGAAGAGGACACCCTGTAAAAATTTTCTGAATCCGCCGCTGTTGTTACGCCCTTCTTACACCTTCGACTGTTAATCTGTTATGCCCTTTTCTCCCCATGCGCCTCGTGTCAGAGATCGGGCGTCACTTTTACAGACTGTTTATTACCTCCACTGGATTGAGCCTTGTTGGGCCGTTTCCTCTTGGGCTTCTCTCCATACCCCCCAACACTCCATAATATGCTCAAAACAGAGCATTGATTTCTCCTATGAGTAAATTAAAATAATCGTCAATCAACCTAAACAATAAAACAATGGAGAAAAGGAAACAAACAACATTTGGAGGTCTCGAGGTAAAATTTCCTTGCCATTGGTCTATTCTTAGCTAAACCAACAACACAAACAGCAAAATCCTTTTTAGTTTTCAACGACGATAATTAAACAATAAATAAATCCAACATGACTGCCTCTCTCCTGCCATCAAATTCCTCCCCTTAATCTCTCTTCTCTTTTCTCCCTTTCGAATTCCTACCCCCGGGAATAACATTAACAAAATCAAATTCTTTCTCTCCGATTCCCGGTGGCCGCCGTCTCCCTCCACCTCCGAGGGAGATATCAATCCAAGGGAGACAACAAAAAAATCAAACCAAACACAAGGAGAGAATAAATAATTATAAATTATAAAAAAAATATGGGTCGGTCGTCGTCGTCGTCCGATGACGATTCTCCGAAGAAACACAAAAAAGCCGCCTCCACTTCCTTCAATGACGGCCAACACCCGCCGCCTCCGTACCCTCCCGCCGGCGGCGGTTACAATTACCCCCAAACCATGGGCTACCCTCCCCCGATGCCAGGTCAGTACCCGCCCAGTTACAACAACCAGTACCCGCCCGGTTACAACTACAATTACGCCGGTTACAACTACCCGGCGCAGGCCCCGCCGGCGGCCTACTACCACAACAACGGCGCCGGCGCGTACCCGACCCAGCAGGAGATGAACGCGGCGGCCGGGTTCGCCCGGGGATTCCTCATCGGGATGATGCTCCTCTTCTTCTGCATCTTCGCCTCCACCATCGTCCTCTGGGTGGTGCTCCGCCCCCAGGTGCCGGAGTTCCACGTCGAGTCCCTCGCCGTCGCGAATTTCGACGCCAAGCAGTCGAGCTTCGCGGCGGCGTGGGACGCCAACTTGACGGCGAAGAACCCGAACACGAAGATCCGGTTGTACTTTAACCAGATCGAGACGTTCATGTTCTACGACGACCAGCCGCTGGCGTCGTCGTACGCCAACCCGTTCAGCCTGGAGACGGGGGCGGCGGCGGGGATGACGACGAGGCTGGCGACGAACAGCTCGGTGGACGAGGGGGTGGAGAACGAGGCGGTGGAGAAGATGGCGGAGGATTACAATGGCCCCGGGGCGGTGGAGTTTAGCCTGAGGATGGCGGTGTGGACGACGTTTAAGTCGGACTCGTGGTGGACGCGGCGGTCGACGGTGAGGGTGTTTTGTGAGGAGTTGAAGGTCGCGTTTGTGGGGAAGACTGGGAAAGGGAGCTTGGCTCCAGATACCAATAGGGATTGTTTGGTTTTTGTTTGAACGTTTTTTTTTTCTTTTTTTTTTTTTTTTTCTGTTTGTGTTTATTTATTTGTGTAAATGTTTCATTAGCTTTCTTTTTGGGCTTTATGTGAAAGTTTTTTTTTTTAATTATTTAAGAACATTTGTGAAGGTAACAACATCATTGCAATTTTCTTAGAACACCCTGGTTATTTAAGATTTGGGTGTTCACCAAAATAGTGATTTGTGAAGGGATTTATCTAAGCATTTAAGCTTGATCGTATCTTTAGCTTGCCATTTTGATTTCTATATGTTTGCTATATGTTCACAGATGGATTTAGTAGTCTTAAAGTGTATTTTTATATATTTGATGCAGTTGTGGATGAATTTTAAATATTTCCAGACAGATTTTCATAGAGGATCGTCTTGTACGTACGAGCATTGGTCGACATCAAAATTCATAGACTAGCAGTCAGAAATGGAGCTAAAATAATACAAATTTATTCTTGGTTTGTACATGTCATGATCCATAAATCATCAGCCGTCAACCGACGCCAGCATTAATACCCCAATCGTTCACTCTCCACTCGTTGAACTTCATCAAGTTTGCTGGACTGAAATACTGTCAATGTGGTAAATACGACAAATTGAGGATTGAAAGGTAAATAAAGAACACTTTGATTAACATGGTTCTTTTTATGGTGCGTGAGGCATACATTCACAGAAACACTCTTAGTATGCTTTGAATTGACAGTTTTTATGGTGATATGCAACCTAGGGAATTATTTGTAACACTATGGAGGATGTTGAAGTAAGATTTTTCCTATCTATCTCTTTGTTGTGCCGGTTGATTTTGTGAACTAGTGGATTTAGGACCGTTGATTTATGTGGTATTGATGACTCTCCTTATGTTGTGTTGTGGACTCGTGTATCGAAAAAGAGTGTTCAATGTGAAATGAAAAAGCAATTGGTCCTACATGTCAGAAAAATTGAAATTTTAAACATGGGGAAAGCGCAACGTGTGTGGCACCGTTCATTGCACAAAATCGGGTTTTGGAAGGGATTTTAGTGATCCTCGGTGGGGTAGGCCTACAAGGTGAAGCTAAGTTGTCTCTAGTATAAGTAAAAATTTCCACCCGTTGAACGGTTTGCCTACTTGAGGATATAGGTGTCAATCGGGCGGGTTCAGGCAGGTTCCGGCTGGGTTCAATCGGGTTGCGGGTTAGTCGGGTTGCTGGTTCATCGGGTTGCGGGTTCTTCGGTTCGGGTTCAATCGGGTTCGGGTTTAATCGGGTTGCGGGTTAGTTAGGTTGCGGGTTGATCGCGTTCGGGTTCAATCGGGTTACGGGCAAATCGGGTTCGAGTTCATCGGGTTTCGGACCGGGCGGGTTGCGGGTTGTTCGGGTCAACGCATCGAGTTACTTACTCGTTACCAACTTACACATTTTATTACACTAATTTAAAATATTTTTCACAGTTTTTAATCAATTTCTTTCTACCTTGTATATATACTTAATTAAAAAAAACTAGTCAAAATCACCACAATCGAAATTTGAAATCTCGCCTTCCCACTGCAACTAAAATTGGGCCGCCCAAAATTTCATCATCACCCGCCCACTACAATTACACAAAAAACACAAAACCCTTCCCTCTGCTTGCAAAAAATTGGGCGCCCAAAATTTCATCACACCCGCCCAAAATTACTTCTTAGTTCTTACCCTGTCATCTTCTCCAATAATAAAGTTTATTATTATAGACAAAAGGTCTTAGTTATTATTTATTATAAATATTAGCCTGATTTTATATTTACTTTTTTTGTAATTTGGTTAAAGAAATTCATATCATAATTTTTGTAATTAAAAACCATAATTTTAATGAATTTCAGATTTTGAACTTTCTTAACTAAATGTGAATGATTTTACTTAGGTTGAGAATGAAAAACTTTATTTGAAAACAATATATTTATTTTAATCAATTTATTTCTACCTCGTATATATATACTTTTCTTTTTGAAAAAAAATGATTCAAATGTTAAATCAATTTGTATGACTTGCAAACTTGTTATGTAATTAATCGTAATTGATAAAGTACACTAACTAATAGTAATGGTGATATCAATATTTACAACCAAAAGATACCATTAATTATTTATTTGATATTTTATTATTATTTCAGTAGTGTAATTGGATTAAAGTATCTCATTTAGTATAACCATGCAAATTTGGTATTTGGCGTGTGGTATTAGGCAAAAGCAGAGTGATAAAAGGAGTTATTTCGAAATAACTCATTGCCCAAATAACTTCAGTATACTGATGCCAAACGAGTTATTTGTAAAATTGTTCGAATTATCTTGAAAATTGAACCATTAAAGATTAACTATGAAATCTAGTAAAATTATTGGGACTTCAATCATAACTTACTCAATAACATATATCCTATACACTTAGCCTTACCCTCAATCGACAATATTAAGTTAGTATATGTTGTTGATTGTATACCCTAAACCATCAATACATTATACACTAACCACATACCCTATACCTAACCATATGTCCTTATGAGTTGTGATTTTGCTAGTATAGTTAATTTGAAACTGAAATTCATACTTTGATTTTCAAAACATAGATAAAAAGTGATATTTGCTAATTGCTATACCCTAACCATATATCTTATACTCTACATCATATACCTTGTATCCTAACCACGTACCACAAACATAAATTAAAAAGGGATCTCCTGCCGTTAAAGACATCAAATGATTTCAAGTGAACATATGTTAATAAAAAACTTAGAACCATCAAAACCATCAATATCTTATACCCTAACGAACCGTCAAAGATTACTTTACTTATCAAGTTTAGTATAATTGTTGTAACTAATGGTTAATTTATTTATCAGCCCATAAACAACTACATACATATATATATATATATATATATATATATATATATATATATATATATATATATGGGTCAGACTCGTATGCTCCAGACATATAATATGCTCCAGGTTCTCCAAACCGTTAATTTAATCTGATGGCTTTCATTAAATATGATAATATTATCTATAATTTACAAATTAAAGATAATTAATTGATTCTTTTACATTTTAATACGTTATCTTTAATCCCCCAAAAAATTATATCATTTAGTTTCACACTACGGTACCTAATTTTGTTTAACCATAACTTAAACATACCCAATTTCTTAATTAGGTGCAAAATCTCAAATAATATTTTACTCGAGATCCTAAAAGAGAAGCCTTTTTCTGAAAAAGCTGTTGCAAACTACAATGACGCCGGAGTATCATCGTCGGCAGTAGCGCCGTCGCCACCTGTCCTCATCTTCATCCCGTTCGTCGTTGTTTGTGGCTCTTTCGCATATGGCTGTGCTGATCCTGATCCTCTCCTACGCCTCCGAGATAAAGTCCCCTTTCCTGATCCTCGACCTCTCCAAGACCCGGGCCGTCTACGACGTTGACGTCGCCTGGGTCCAGGCTGGTTACCCGGTTCATTGAAGAAGAAAGGGAATTTAATAAAAGATGCAAGACAATTGTAGATTTCTAGAATCTCTACGAAAGGGTTCTTCTTCTTCGCCACTATCTCCCCCTGCAGTTTCTCTGTTTCGAATTTGAACTCCGGCCATGAGAATGCTAGCTTCTGAACAATTGATGGAATAATCCTACTCTTGCCTCTCCATTCAAACACATTAAACCCCGTCGTCGCCACGATCGAATTCCACCCTCGGCTCTTAAATCAAGAGACCCACTGAGCCCATCTCCGCCGGCGCTCGGGTGCTACAGCCGTGGCAGCGAATGAACCAGCAACCTCTCCCGGCATTGAACGCGATCAACACCAAATCATTTGTGTGATCCAACCCTAACGAATTCTAAAACTTGAAGTAGGAGCTTTCAATCGGCGTGGGTTGATCAGAATATGTAAGAATCGAACCCGCAATCGATATTGATAGCTTTGATGATGACGATAGACTTTCAGTGGCACTATGACAGTAAAGTTTTGCTTTTTTTAAGACTGCTTTTTGGAGCTGCTACTAGAGAAATAGATGAATCTTTGATTCATTAATTAGTGGAGGCAAATTTATTCCCTTGATGATGACTGTGTAATTAGGGGTAGCTGAGGTCTATTGATGAAGATGGTGAAATTAGGGTAGCAGTGTGGCTTGCATATGATGGTGATCGCCTTTGATGATGCGAGTCTGTATCAGGTTGATGAGGGCGTTTGATTAATTAATCCTTCTTAAGAAATTTTAACGGACAAACAATTATCAATTATATAACTTTTGGGTGTTGAATAATAGGCCTCTTAGAAATCAAACTTTTGGAATTAATAAACGCTGTTAGATTAGATCAACGGTGCAAAGGCCTAGAGCATGGTATGCGTCTGGAGCATACAAGTCATATCCATATATATATATATATATACGGTACCCCAGGTGAAATCCGGGGTACCGCATACCTTGAGTATGAAAACACTATTTAGACCTCGAATTATCAGGATTTTTGGGCATGATAATATACCCTAATCCTTAATGAGTGAACCCTAGGTCCTAATTATCCAAATCAAAACTATAAACCTTAAGATGGTGCATTGATTTTTTTGCCTATATTTGGGCGAATCATAACCGTCGATTAATGTTTCTAATTAAATTGATCTCGAAGTATAATATTTAGAGAACTAAGACTTAGATTTTGATCTTTATGGGTTAGAGTATAGTATTATGTCCGAAAGAGCAGTCAATTCAAGTTCTGGATAGCGTTTTCTTACTCAAGGTATGCGGTACCCCGGATTTCACCCGTGGTACTGTAGAACTCCCTATATATATATTAGCCTCCAAAGCATATAAGAATAAATTTAACTAGTCATGCCCTCCATATAAAAATTAAAGATTCATATTTCAAAGGCTAAAATTTTGAAAAACCAAAAAGTTGAAAACACCAAATTTGTTTCATTCTTTCTTTTCACAAAAAAAAAACTAAAATTTCCCTCCTTTTTTCTCCTTCCATAAATTAGCAACATTCAATTTCCCTCCTCTTTCTCTTCCATAAAATTGAAAGAACCAAATTCCTTCTTCCTTCCTTCCACAAAAAGTTGAAAACTCAAAATTTCCCTCCTTATTTCTCTTTCATAATCAAAAGAACCAAACTTTGTCACTTCTTTCTATTCCCACAAATCAAAACCACCAAAATTTCTACTTGTTTCTTT